TTTGTATTTTTAGTAGAGATGGGGTTTCACCATGTTGACCAGGATGGTCTCGATCTCTTGACCTCGTGATCCACCCGCCTCGGCCTCCCAAAGTGCTGGGATTACAGGCTTGAGGCACCGCGCCCGGCCTTGCAGGTACCTTCTTTATGAGGCAGCAGGGCAGAGAGGAGCAGGGGAAACTGCCACTTACAAAACCATCAGATTTTGTGAGATCTCATTCACTATCACGATAACAGCATGGGGGAACAGCCCCCCTGATTCAGTCACCTCTCACCAGGTCCCTCTCTTGATATGAGGGGATTACCATTCGAGATGAGGTTTGAGTGGGGAAACAGAGCCAAACCATATCAATAAGTTGTAGACCAAAATAAAACACAATAATATAAACCTGGAAGAAGATAACAGCACAGAAAACTTAGGTGGCTCTGGGTTTGGTGATGACTTACTACACCAAAAGCACTATCTGTTAAGAAAAAATTGCTAAGTTTGGCTTTATTAACATAAACACTTCTGCTCTGTGAAAGAGGATGAAGAGACAAGCCACAGTCTGGGAGAAAAGTTTTGCCAAATACCTGTTGAAGGTCAGGTATTCAAAATATACAAAGAACTCTTAAAAAGCAATAATAAAAATGCAATTCAAACATGGCCCAGAGACTTGACAGACACCACCTAAGAAGGTATACAGATGGCAAATAAACATAAAAGGAACCTCAGTGTCACACGTCAGTAGGGGATTATAGATTAAAGCAGTGATGAGTTGCCACTACATACCTATTAGATCAGCTAAAATCCGAAACACTGACAATAGCCTGGCCAACATGGTGAAACCTCATCTTTACCAAAAAAAAAATACAAAAATTAGCTGGACATGGTGGCTTGAAAGTGAGTTTGGCAGTTTCTTATGAAACTAAATATGTTATGTGATGCAGCAGTTGTGTTCCTTGATATTTACTCAAAGAAGTTGAAAACTTAAATTCTTACAAAAGCCTGCGGGCAAATGTTCATAACAGCACTATTCATAATTGCCAAAACTTGGAAGTAACCATTCCTTTCTTCAGTAGATGAGCGGATGAATAGATAAATAAACAGTAGTGTATCTGTACTATGGAATATTACTGAGCCGTAAAAAGAAATGAGCTATCAAGCTGTGAAAAGATGTGGAGAAACCTTAGTGCATATGACTGAATGAAAGAAGCCAGTCTGAAAAAGCTCCATACAGAAGGATTCCAACTCTGTGACATTCTGGAAAAGGCAAAACTGTAGAGATGGATGAAAGATCAGTGGCGGCCAGAGGTCATCGGGGAGGAAGGGGATCAGGCAGAGCACTCCGATTGTTAGGGCAGTACAGGTCCCTGCGAGATACAGTAATGTTGGATATATAGAATTGACAACAAAGGGTGAACCCCAGTGTCCTCTGACTTTACTTAATAGTCATGTATTGGTATCACTTATCAAATACACTACACTAATGCAACATTAATATAGGCCAAACCTGGGGCGAAGGATGATGGCAGCTCCCTGTTACTTCCTAGGTAATTTCTCTCTAAACCCAAAACCGCTCCAAAATATAAAGTCTATAATTTTTTTTTTAATTAAATGATAGGTCAGCTGCAGTGGCTCACACTTAAAATCAAAATCGCAGCGCTTTGGGGAGCCAAAGCAGGGCAATTGCCTGAGCCCGAGAGGATGAGGCTGCAGTGAGCTATGATCTCACCACTGCACTCCAGCCTGGGCAATAGAGCAAGACTCTTTAAAATGAAAAAA